CGTGCCATTTCCCCTTGAAGGTATGGGTCAAAGATGATGAGGGCCGTGGAGACGTGGCAGTCACTGTCTAGTCACACATCAAGACTAGTTCCGCTTGGTCTAGAGCCTGGCGCACCTGCAAGGAAGAAATGAGAGGGAAGTTCACTTCTGCCTCTAATGCAACAAAGTCCCCAAGTCCTACGTCATGGTGCTTCAGGCTCAAACCGTCCCCTGTTCCATTTTCACCAGCCCACGCGGTTTTCATATTAGCACGCCTAACAGCAGGTGACTGTGTTGTCAGTGTGAAAGAAGCATCTCCTTCATATTGTTATCTGCAGGCTTGATGAGGGAGGGAGAGAGGGGACCAGACACGTCATTGTTATTTACCCTCCTCTGGTGGGCTCTCCAGCGGGATGCGTTCCTCAGTCGCTCCCCACTACATTTGAGATTCTCAGGAAGCGCACGGTGGCTACCATATGGGAGAGTGTGGATGTACAACATTTCCAGGGTCACAGAAAGTTCTCTTGGGCAGCTTGTTCTACTTATATGATCATATGTGATAAATGTTGTCGTAAATCAATTGTGTGCCTGTCGTTTTTATAGGACATTGGCACTGAACATTGTTTTACTGTGGTATAAAACATGTTAACTTGTACTCTTTCTTCCCTGGTAAACAAATTATCCAAGCAATTAAATTCTTGATTCTCTGTGACAGCCAGTGGTGGAAATTTCTGAGGTCAAAGAAAAGTTTTAATGAGAATCAGAATGAGTGTTCTCAAATATTCATCAATCTTATTAAAACAACTTTGTTAGGTCATAAGCCCATCATCTAAAACACATTTAAAAAATGAAAACTATGCACATTATGCCAGTTTCTCAGAAAGCCAAAGCAAATAATATATATCCTTATTTGTTTTTAAAGATGTATTCATTTATTTGAGAGAGAGAGAGCCCGCGTGCATGCAAGGGGGGGGGCAGAGGGAGAGAGAGAATCTCAAGCAGACTCCCTGCTGAGCGCAGAGCCCAATGCAGAGCTCGATCCCAGGACCTGAGATCACAACCTGAGCCAGAGTCAGATGCTTAACCAACTGAGCCACCCAGGTGTCCCAATATATATCCTTTTTAAAAAGGGACTTTCCTCAATATGTTGTGAATATTGTTAGTGATTTCTGCAATTCCCTATATCAAGAAGGGAGAATAAGGGAAGACTGGAGACTTAACCAAGGTTATGTTAACTGGACAAAGTGAGTGAGAAAAACTAAAGATAATGATAAAACACAATGCTAAGGAAACCCTAGGGGCACTTGAAATGAACATAGTGACTCACACTTTATTTTTTTTCTTCTTTTTTTTTAAGATTTTATTTATTTATTTGACAGAGAGAGACACAGCTAGAGAGGGAACACAGGCAGGGGGAGTGGGAGAGGGAGAAGCAGACTCCCCGCTGAGCAGGGAGCCCGACGTGGGGCTCGATCCCGGGACCCCGGGATCATGACCTGAGCCGAAGGCAGAGACCCAAAGACTGAGCCACCCAGGCGCCTCGTGACTCACACTTTAAAAGAACTGACCATTAGTTGTGCTTTTAACTTCTCTCCAGGAAAAAAAAAAAAATGAACTTCTGAATGAAAAGCATGTACTTTACTTTGTAAAATCATTACATTATTAGACTCAGCCTCCTGGCTTATGATAAAATAATAATAATAAATAACAAATAAAAATTACTGATCGCTGTGGTGAAGGGAAGAACTTAATTGTCAACAGGTGTGTAGGAGCATCTGATAAGTCAGGTTCAGAAACGTGAGCAGTTTGGCTTGCTGTACATCAAGCCCTACACAGTGAGTTGAATCCTTCTTTCAGATTTTTTTTCCAATTTCTTTTTTTTTTTCTGAGAAATAGTTTCACAAAATGCTCCACAAAAGGAAAGTTCCTGAGGTCAGATAAAGTCCGGGACGCGTTGTGCTCTGTGCTTTCTGCACAGAGTCACCGAGCTCTGAACGTCCCGCGGTGAGAGGGCTTGCTCACCTTGACTTAATTTAGCCTCATTGGAAATGATTTGGCTAAGGAATCCCAGGTGTTTTGGCTTGACACTTTTTCACAGCTTGCAAACTGTGATAGTGTTCTGTAAGATATACTTAAAATATACTTGATTAGCCTCAGAGCAGAGAAACTGAAACAACCAAATCCCTCAAAGAGCTCTATAGCTTTATAGAAAAAAGTCCATGTTTTTAGGATGTTGAAGGATCCAGGGATGAGTAGTGTGATGTCTGCAAGTTAATTGCAAATGATTCAGCTGAAAATATATATGTGTAGTATATGTGTATGTACACACACACAAGGAGCACACTCAAAATATGGGAAAATGTTCACAACTGGTGAACTGCAGTAAAGGACATGATGTGTAATACTTTTGATGTATTTCTCTAGTTCTGAAAATGTATTCTAGAAAAAGAGGGAAGTGTTATAAACCCAAACGCAAGCTGCATTGATTATGTTGGGCAGTGAAGGGGTAGCCATATGAAAGAGTTGATGAGGTGAGAGAAAGGATTTTAGGATCCAGACAGAAGTAAAAGGGGAAGAAGTTTCACGTTCTTGACTGGAGACAGCAATACAGCTGCTGAGAAGCATTCCGGGGCATTCTTCACATTGCCTTGCCACTCCTTTAGGAGTTATGGCGCCATATCCAAAAGTCTGTCCCTCAGACCCTCAGTCAGGCTAATGGGAACATTGCCCAGAAAACACGTCAGGGTGTTTGTTCTTATTCCCATCCTGGGCACTCCAGACAGCACGGCACAGAGAAGTTTGCCAACTTGAAACGGTGTGATGCAGCCAAATTAGTGAGGAAGCCACCTGAACCGGGGATCTCAGGATTGACCTGAAAGCCCCGACTTTTTGACCAAATAATGTCAACAGCTTGAAATTTGCCGTAGCCAGGACTGGCCCGACCTTGACCTTCCGTAGATTGACTATTAATCCCCAGCTCGCAGCTGGCTGTGGGAAGCACCGTGTAATAGATTGCGTGTCATCTTGTATGCTTCTAGGCCACAGATGTGGGTATGCAGTATTTTCTAACTTCTCAAGGACTTTGCTGAAGGTTGTAGCACACAGAAGAGTTCCCTAGTCTCGGGATTGTGCCTGGCTGTATCATTTGCTGAAACAATATTGCAAATGTTCCTTTTGCCCTAAGGGAGAGAGAAGAGTCATTTAGCTTCCTGCAGGTTCGTAGATGCATCATTTACTATTGTAAAGCTGTTGCTAATATGCTCTTTCAACACTGCTGGTGTCTTTGCCACCCAGGCTCCCCTTCATAAGCTTCTCCGTTCCCCATTCCTGTTCCTCCTCCTCTTTTTTTTTTTTATTGTTTAACGTTTACAATAGTAGGTTATAAAAATTGTGAAATTGGATTTGTTCCTGTTTCTGATAAAGGTTTTTACAATAAGGGTTCCTGCCTCCTTCACTAAGCTCTTGGTACAATTTAACAAGTAAAATTGTCAATCCTTGTGGTCTTCTGATATTGTCAGTTGTTATGGTATTTCTATAACTTTAATATATGATTCTATCCATTGCATTTATGATATATATAAAACCTTAAGAATATATCTTATATAATTATTACGTTTGCTATTATCAATGTGATATTTATAGACTTGAATATCTTCCACATTAAGGCACTAAAGTTACAAAGAAGTGTCAGAAAAATCATAGTTTCTTATCACTACAAACATATGTTTATATTTTATCTTCCCTTCACACTGGAAGCTGAGTATTAATCTCTGGAGAGTAATAATTATAAAATATATTGGTAATAAATGACAAAATTATAAAATTTAACATTTTTATTGTGCTTTACATTTTACAAAGTATTGTCACTTACAATATTAGTAAAGATGGCTGAACAAATAATTCAGTATGCCTATAGAGTCTTTTTTTTTTTTTTTTTTACAAATTAGTAAGAAATAAATGGTTCTGCCTAAGACTTTAGGATCGCTCTTTGTTTCTCATTATTTTTGTATCAATTTTTTTAATAAAACATGTATTTGGGAGGCTGAAGGTTTTCACTCATAATGATAAAAATAGTCTTTGTTATTTGTAGATGATCTTAATGATAATGGTAAAATTGTAAACAAAATTCATATGCCGTGACATTTTATGTAACCCCCCAACAGAACAAGAAGTAAGGTGTAAGGATTAAAATAACTAGTTAGTAATATTATACATTTAAAAAGGCAGTTATTTTATTAGTGAGCTCTTTGCAGAAATGGCAGTGGGACGCTGCTCTGAAAGTTCCCCCTAATGTACAGAATAGCATGATTTCTGTATGCTGACATTTGAGAGAAGTGATTAGAGATGTTTAATTATTGATTTTTTTTTTTTTTTGGTCCAGCTTTTCTTCTTGTGCTCTTCGAATGGCATTTGTCTAGGTAGAGAATACTAGTGGAACACAAAGCACCCTTTTCTACACACCCCTGCCGGGTTCTGTTTAAACCCCTCAGGACTCTTGTCTTACTTTATGTGTGACTATGTGTTGGAAAGACTTCACTGGAACCCAGCAAATGGTGATCATACCAGTCACAGCGCGGGAAATGGGCTGGTAGGTCCCTACAGATAAGATTTTGAGAGGAAAAATCTGGAGCCTTCAAAACTGTGTATAGAAGCATGAAATAGAATTCAGGAATAGTGGTCTTTAAATTTCCCGTGGTCTCTACGTTTCCTGTCCTTTTTAAAAACTTGAGCGGCACAGAATGCATTTCACTTCCCCGTGTTGCAAATGCACTTGGCCGGCTCTTCTGGTGGCAGCGGGTCGCTTACCCTGCTAAGTCACAAGGCTGTTGGCAAGTAGAAGAAAAGATTTTAACTCTTGAGCATAAAACTAGATTTTCTAAATTAAATTGTTGTGTCTTCATTGGAATCTTTATCCCAGTAGTGTTTCAAAATGCTCCTGGGGAGATAATTTTAAAATTTGTCTCAATTTGGATTCAACACTGATTGGCTACTTTCTCTGCTTTGCCCCCCCCCCTCCCCAGCAGGTCAAGGAACCTACAACAGCTTTTATGTTTATTGCAAAGGCCCCTGTCAAAGAGTACAGCCAGGAAAACTCCGGGTGCAGTGCAGCACCTGCCAGCAGGCAACGCTCACCTTGGCCCAGGTAAGGAGCTACGGCATTGGCAGAGACTGCCCAGAAAAAATGAACGTGTATTTCCACAGTAGCCTTTTGGGGTTGCTTATCAGAGAAGACACATGACTGAAAGCAAAAGACATTCTGCTATGCGATTCTAATGGTTAATGGTATCTGAAGTTTCATTTAAAAATACATCACTCTGTAAAACGTTAGGTAGTACCCAGCTGTTGTCTCCCTGTGTTTAGTCCAGGCCTCCGGAAAGGAAACATCGAGAGTGCGTTCATAACAAAAAGAGATTAGGCTTTGGTGGGGGTGTCTTTTAGAAGAGGCCAGGAAGGAGCGTTCTAAGACACTGGGAATGTTTTATGTCTTGATCGGTGTGACCATACGTGGTTCAATACGTGTGTCACAATCCACTGGACTGTTCGTTGAAGATGGGCACACTCGAGGTTGCTAAATGGAAGTTGTATCTCAGTAAAGGAGTGAAAAGGAAAGTCGTGGATCGCCCACAGCATGCATGTGAAACCGAGGTCGGCAGGCTACCATCTGCTATGGTCTCTGCTTGGGTTGTATGGTTCACAAGCTAAGAATGTTTTTGCATTTTTAAGTGGCTGGGAAGTATCCAAAGAGTAATGCTGTGTGGCCCGTGAATGCTACATGAAGTTTAGATTTCTAGGCTCCGTGATGACGCTGTAGCAGAAGGCAGCACCACCCATCTCCTTCCATGTTGTCTGTGCAGCTTCCGTGCCCAGGGCAGGCTTCAGTAGTTGCCACCGAGACTGGATGCCCTGTGGAGTCTGACCTATCTACCTCTGGCCCCTACGAGGAAACGTGGTGGACCCCTGATATAAACCATGCACACAGCTAAGGCCATGGCTTCCCCGTGATGGTTATGCAGGATTTGGCTAAAGTTGATGTGGGTGTGAATGTGCGTGAATGAGGAGGGCATTCTGATTGGTGTGATCAAGGGTCAGGGTCAAGGGCCTTCAGGTGATGGGGGCTGAAATGGGGACAAGGACTCCCTTACCACACCAGGCCCTTCTGATGGCTACATTTAGATTTTTATTCCACAGGCAATGGGAAGCCAAGAAAAAATGTTAAAAATAAAGGCAATTTATAAAATGACGTTTTAGAACCTTTATTAATGCTGTAACAGTCTGTCATTGGGACAGAAGTTGGTGACAGATTGAGGGCAAAGAGGTTGATTCATAGACTCTTCATATGGTTCATGCGGGAGGAACTGGGTCAGGGTGGTGGCCTGTGGAAAGTGTATAACGGAGCAGCATGGAAGAACATGAAGGATACACCCAATAATGGAGAAATCAAGGATCCCTGCCTCAAGCCTGGGGAAGATGGTAGAATTACTCAAAAATGCAGCTCAGTATTTCACTATGGTATAATCTCTCTGTACCCAGGCCAATCCTGTGACTGCACTTAGGGAGACAAATCCATGAGTGATGGTTTGTTCTGACCCACGGGACTGGACCTTTTTCTGGGGGTGTCACCAGGCAGTGCTTCTGTCTGGGAAATGTGCTCTCTTAAAGTCCTCCAGAACTTTCCTTTCCACCAGAATCTCTCCTCTGCCACAAGCCTTTTCCAACACAACAAACAGCCTCTTGTATTTTTCTGGTCCATGCTCCAGTCTTGATTGCCTTAGATGGTGGATGCGACCTATTTATATTAACTTCCAATTGTTCTTAGTGAAAACAGCAATAACAAATTATTATTGAGCCCCAAGCTTAATTATTTTCATGCATTATCTAATGCATTTATTTCATAACACTCTAAGTACTGTCAGTAACCTTATTTTAGATTTAGGCTTAAAGAGATTAAGGAAAGGAGCTTGTGAGAGTAGTCATTTGAACCTGTGTGATCTAAACTTGTAAGCTCTGCGGTCACCCCATTTTTTACCACACAGATATGTTTACACTAATTGTCATACGCTCAGATATCCCCAGTGATCAGACATGTGATTTAAGACTTGGGTCTTAAGTATGCAGTGGGTGGGGATGGGGTGAGGACCATGAAGAGACCAAGGCCCAGGTAAGGAGGCTGCTCCTTACCTTACTTGCTTAGCAAGTGGTGGTGGGGGTGCTTAACGTGGTCAATCTTTTATTTAATTAAGGGAAACCATACATATAGATTTTTATGTGAAGTTTCACATGTAAAAATATGCTCCTTGGGGAAAAAAAACAGAAGACAAAAAGAAAAAGCAACCAGCAGCATTTGTCTAAATGCACAAACTGAAATCGTGCCATACAGGTTAAATGGTGCATTAACATTAGGTGTTTAGAGAGCCCGGTGTGCAGTAAGCACTTACTTCGAGTGAGTACTTGCTGAGAGGCTGTATGGTGAAAACTTAAGAAGACAAGTCTCCAGACTCTTCATACTGCATGGGTTAGAATCCCTACATGTATGGTGATTAACATAACAATAACAATAAAAAATAAAAATCTAAAAAAAAAAATAAAAGAATTCCTACATCATTATTTCCCACCTATGTCAGCTTGGGGACATCTGTTACCTGGGATAATGGTATCTACTTCTTATTTCTTGTAAAGATTAGTTAATATATGAAGAGTATTTAGAACAGAGGGGCACCTGGTGGCTCAGTCAGTTAAGTGTCTGCCTTCAGCTAAGGTCATGATCCTGGGATCTCGCTCCTCATCAGCTCCCTGCTCAGCGGGGAGTCTGCTTCTCCCTCTCCTGCTGCCCTTCCCCTGCTCATGTGCTCTCATTCTCTCTGTCTCTCAAGTAAGTAAATAATATCTTTAAAAAAAGGAACAGTAGCTGGAACATAAATAATTAGATATCTTAAATGCTTTCTTATTGTTACTTTTTAAATTATTATTCATGAGTACTTAGTGCATGTGTGCATACACACACTTAGGTACTTCACCATGAAATCAATCCAGACTTTGGCTAACTCCTTTAAAAAAAAGAGAAAGCAATGTATCATGGAACACTACATCAAAACCTAATGATGTACTGTATGGTGACTAACATAATAATAAAAAAAAAAAAGTGAAAGCATCTCCCCTCCCACTGTGTTCATCCAGAAGCTCTGTGTAGCCCCCTCAGCTGCTTACCTGGACCAGCAGGTCCTTGGAGCGATGATCTCATCCACCCAGCAGGCTAGGATCTGTCCCATCTCAGAGGCCCACTCCCATGACCACCCCAGACTTTGTCAGTTCCTAGAACTGCTCTGCACTTGATTATTAAATTCAGACTTTTATTCTCCCTACATTATTTTTGCTCTGTACATTGTTAACCCCTCTCTTAATTTCTTCGAGAGCTCTCTGGCCTTTTCTTTCATCATTTCCTCCCCTGATAGGCTCTAACTTCAACTACATTATTTCAGATATCATTAAATTTCCATTCCACATTCTGTACAATTGCCCATTTGTCTATATTCCAAGTGCCAGTAAGCCTCTTGTATCAGGTAACTTGCGGTTTTAGATCCCTGGTGCATTTTCAACACTTCACCCAGTACCTTGCCCATAGTGGGGCACAAAGCTAATAATTCGAAGTGAATGGTATCTGTACTTGAACCGTGATTCAGTAGATCCACATACTTTAGAAATTATACTGGGCATTTATAATCACATTAATCATAGAAGTTATGATTCTTTTGCTACCACTTATTGATTTCCTTCCTTACATCTATATTCTGGTACTTTTATATTTCTCTAATTCTTATTACAGACCTACAAAGTAGATATTATTATCTAGTGTTTTTAATAGACTCCATGAAGTTAAGCAATGAACCCAAAGTTACACAGTTAACAAACGTTGGTGCCAGGGACGAAAAGTCTTCTGTTTCTTTAAAGCTCTGCCTTTTCTAGGATAGACTGTTCACTCTACAAATCTGGTAATCAGTGTCCTGTTACCCAACCACGTCCCCATACTTAAACTATCCTTCAAAAATACTCTTGAAAAAAAAAAAAAACTACTTTAAGATTTAAGGAGATTGGAAAGGATGTTTTAAAGATTACTTATTTAACCTGAAATTTTACTTTACTTTATTGTATTGTATTTTTTATTTTTTTATTTTTTTAATCCAAAATTTTAGTATAGTTACTAGATGCAGCATCACTGGTAAATAAGTAGAAGAGGCCCTTCGATTTTTTATTAATGACAAACATTCGCACTCAGTAGTACCTTCCAGGAACAGCTTTGTGGAGCAGCTGAGTAATCACAGGAGTCTGCAAGCACCCCTCCACACACACCCAGCAGTGGGTGGGGCAGGAGCTGAACTTTGCCCTGAGGAGGGATTTCCAGGTAGAGAATAGGCAACTCCTAAGGTTTCATTTTCTCAAACTTTTTAAAGATCTGCAACTGACAGAATTTTTTTCTCTAGTCAGGAAAAACATAAAAAGAAAGAAAGGACTTTGTGTGGCTGACAAGTTATATAGTGGAGCAGGATGTGGTTTATCTGCGCTTTCGCAAGGAGCTTTTTATACACAAAGAGAAAAATCGGAACCTACTTAGCTACCTGGGTTATTTTTTTTTTAACATAATTTTTTTTTTTCTGGTCTGAAAAAAATCAGTCTACAATAGGCCCTTTGCCTCTCATGAGTCTTAATAGTAAACTCCTAATTATTTTTTGTTGTTGTGGGGGACTTATTCATAATGCCAACAGTTCCTCAACACTATTTAAATTTTGTGTGCAAGATAATGAGCTTCCTCTCATACATAATGTTCTAAGGTTTAATTGTTTACATATTTCACATTTAATATGATGCTCCTAATGAATTGGCAAGGAAGACAGGAGGCCATTTCTGTCATGGTGTTAGGATGGGGGAACTGATGTCCAAGGCTTTGGCCTGACCTTGAGGGTAAATTGAAAATCAGCTGGGACACCAGGTTTTTCCTCTGAATTTAAATCAAATTACCTTCTTTATTTCGTGGTGACCTTGACCAGGTTTCCACTAACCAAAATAGCCCTTAGAAACATGCATGCTCCCTGGAAAACAGTGAACAGCAGCTGATTGGAAAAATATGGCAGGCCCCAATTTTCATTTGCG